CTACACTCCTCCTCATAAAGCCCTGCCTCCTGAACGATCTGTTCTGCATACAGATTGAAAAGGTATGGGGACAGGGATGCATCCTTGATCCACTCCTTTTCTGATTTTGAAACATGCAGTGTTTCTTTGCTCTATTTTAAGGACTTGGTCCAAGTATAGGTTTCATATGAGCACGATCAGGTGTTCTGAAATTCCCATTTTGCTCAAGGTTAGTAGCAAAAATTTATTGTGATCCACGCAGTCAAATGTTGTTGCATAGTCAATAAAACACAGATAGACATTCTTCTGGTACTCTATGCTTTATTACAAGATCCATTTGACATTGGCAATAATATTCCTAATGCCACTACCTCTTCTAAACGCAGCCTATATTTCTAGTAGTTCTCTTTCAACGTACTGTTCAAGTCTTTTCTGGATAAACTTTAGCAGAATTTTGCTAGTGAGTGATAATAGTGATATTGTTAGATAATTTCCACACTCTGTTGGGTCTCCTTTTTTTCTGAATTGGAATAAATATGGATCTCTTCCAGTTAGTTGGCCAGGTAGTTGTCTTCCAGATTTCTTGGCACAAATTGGTGAGTACATCCAGGGCAGCATCTGTTTTCTGAAATATGTCAATTGGTATTCCATCAATTCCTGGAGCTTCCCCCCCCCCCAAGTCCCTCAGAGCAACCTACACTTCCTCCTTCATCACCATTGCCTCTTGCTCACGTGTTGTTTCTTGAAATCCCTCTGTCAGCCAATTCTTTTTTAAACAATGATTCTGTATACTCCTTCCATCTCCTTTTAATTGCTTCTTGAATTATTCAATATTCTGCCCATAGCATCCTTAAGCATTGCAACTCAGGGCTTGAATTTATTCCTTAGTTCTTCAGGTTAAGAAATGCTGACCAAGCTCTGCCCTTTGGACAGAGCCCTTTCTGACTCCAGATCCTTGCACTTTTCATTATAATATTTTGCCTTGTCTTCCAGAGCACCCTTTGAAATCTTCTATTCAGCTCCTTAACTTCCTGATTTCTTCCATTTGCTTTGGCTTTGTGGTGCTCTAGTGCAATATTCAGAGTCTCTTCTGACATCCATTTTGGTCTTTGTTTCTTCTTCCTTCTTTGTAATGACTTTGGCATTGTTCATGAATAATATTCTTGATATCTTCCCACAGCTTATCTTGTCTTTGTTCATTAGGGTTCAAGGTCTAAAACCTATTCCTGAGTTGGGAGATAGACTCAAGGTCAAATTTTGATTCCTTTGGATATGATTTAACCTTCTTTGGCTTTAATTTGAATTTGCATATGAACAGTTGATGGTCTGTTCCACAATCAGCACCTGGCCTAGTGTTTACTACTGATACTGAACTTCTCCAAAAGTTTCTTCCACAGATGTAATCAGTCTGATTCCTGTGCATCCCGTCAGGTGAAATCCATGTGTATAGCCTGTGTTTAAGTTTCTTATTAAAGGCATTTACTATGAATAAATCATTGATTGTACAGAATTCTATCCTTCTATCCCCAGCCTCTTTTCTGTCACCAACTCCATATTTTCTGACTACTGATCCTTCCTCCTGGTTCCCAACTTTTGCATTCCAGTCACAAATTATTGTTAAAACATCTTGGTTACACGTTCAATCAATTTTTTACTTCAACTGTTGGCAGAAATCATCTATTTCCTCTTCCCTGGCTTTCCAACTGAGTGGCATCTTCACATACACAGCGTTGGGAACCCACGGAGTCACACAAGATGGGATTTGAGATCTCTCTCTAATCTCCTTGATCAGATAACCCCTTTCTCCCAGAAAGGAGAGAATATCTTTCGGGAAAGGACATCTTCAGCCTCAGATCTACTTCGGTGTTTGGCTTTTGAACTGAGTGGAGCCCCCTAGTGGATTCAAACAGCCAGAAAGAGTTAGCAATGCAACACCTTATAGCCGATGCCACTAGAGCACTTTGTTGTTGTTGGGTACTCTCGAGTCAGAGCGGACCCATAATTTAGCCTCCAGGGGGTTTTCAGAGGCAATAAATTGCATGGGAAGAGACTATCCATCTTTCTCCTAAGGAGCAGCTCGTGGATTAGAACCATATACCTTTGCATTGGCAGCACAATTCCTTACCACTAGTTGTTATTATTGTTATGTACCATTGAGCCTGAACCAGCCCATAGCTGACCCTCCAGGGGTTTTTCAGCGGCAGTAAATCATATGGGAGAAAGTTGTCCATGTTTCTCTGAGTAAGCAGCTGATAGATTTGAATCACCTGCCTTCAAGTTGCTAGTACAGCTCCTTAACAGCCAAGGAGTCAGTTTTATGCTCTGATGTTGTTGATGGGGATTTTCCTCCCACATTTAGTTAGTAGAGATCAAATGCTGCCACTTCCATCCAGGCCACACTGCTTTTATACCGATTCTATTGGATGGACAAATTGGGTGAGGGGAAGGAATATCATGGGTAACCTAAAAAGATTATTTAACTCAGGCAATTCTTCATCAAACAATGACTTCTAGCTGAGGGACAGAGTTAGGCAGGGGGTGGGAAGGTCTACAGAAATAAAAACAAATAATTTACGATGTGTGGCATTAATGGGAAGCAGTGATGTACTCAGTCTAGATGAAGTGACCAATGCCGAAGTCTTAACTCTATCTGATAAAACTTGTATCAGGGACCAAGGATGGGGACTTGAAGAGTGGTGGCTGTGACTAATAGGAAAATGGGGAACTGTAGCAGTGATTGGGTCTATTGTTTATGGGAGCAAACCCAACATCCAGCTTTTCCCTGTTTTAGCAAAATGAATGAACATGGGTAATGCCTATAAAGAAGGCTGGAGACTCAGGGCAGCAACTTGAGAAATCAGGTTTATGGTCTTTGTTCACCACATGACAGGTAATAAATACTAAACATTCATCACTTTCCAATTACCATACTACATCTAGGCTCTTGTTATATAGTGGGCCTAAAGAACAAGCAGTCTTGGAGAAGGTACAGCAAGATTGCTCCTTGGGGGCAAAAGTGATAAAGTTTTGTCTCACATACTTTGGACAATGGCCTTGAGTATGTCAGATTATGAGAATAGCACAGGATAGGCCAGGGTTCAGATCTGTTGGTCTATAGGTAGCTATGGGTCATACTCCATTATATGATACCCAACAACATGCTCTATTCTCTTTGCTCTTGAGGGTATTTACATCTATTAGATCCAAGCCTGGCTTCATGGATGCATAATACGTGTACTTACATGAGGTCTGTGCTGAAAGGTCCTTTCTTGATTGCATGCTCTGCTGAATGAATTTTAAAGCTGCTGATACTGGTCATCACCTTGAAACTCTTCATTTTTGAGTTTTCATTTTGATGAGCTCAATAAATTTTGTAGCCAGTCCTGAGTGTATCAATTTATGGTTGTTATTGTTTTTGTTGTACATGTTGTACATACTCAACCTCCTTTGCCTTTCTGTTGTACATTGGGTTTTCAGAGGCCTGCTCAGACAGACCAGCAAGTTAATGTGAATGTATTTCAGAAGTGGATGGCCAATCCTTCTTCCTAGTCTGTCTTTCCTCTTCCTTGTCAAGAAGACAAAGATTATCACCACTGGACCAATTGGAAGCATCAGGATGGATGGTGAAGAGATTGAGATTGTACACAGTTTTAGTTTGCTTGGCTCCACAGTCAACACTCTTGGCACCAGTAGCCAGGAAATTAAAAGGCACATAGCTATGGGAAAGTCTGCTGGTAGGGACC